CAGAGCTCCTCGTCCCTATTTTGTCCTAGACTCTACTACTGCATCTCTTTCTCTCAATCCAAATTCGTATTGTCCATTTGCCTATGCACATCATTGAGTAATATCATTTTCTCGTGTGTCACCTTAGAATGTATCGCTTCAAGTGGATTTAGTGAAGCGTAATCACCTTCACCAGTGATTTTAGATGCGGTTTTCAGGGTTTCTGGCTAATATTTAGCCCCCCTCCGCCCCGCTAGCCAGTCATTCACATATGAAAATCATTATCTGACTCACTATGAGCCTTCAATTCCCGTCCTCGTGTAATCGAAGATTTAAAATAGGTGATTTCCATGCTTAGGCATCTTTATCTCCCTAGGCTTCAGACCCATGACCCAATTAGCCCTTGTCAAACACACCTTAAAGTATCTCATTCCTTGGGGCCCTGCTTCTAACCAAATTCGGAGTCGCTGAGGTGAAAATATACTGCTTCCCTTTTTCGTCCCCTGAAGTGCAACGCACACTCTTGTCTCTCAAGTTGACAGTCCCACCCAATTCTAAGGTCCTAATCACTTTACCATGTGACGTTGGTATCCCGCCAAGTCAGGCATATCACGAATCACCTCTCATTAAGGCATGCGCGAAAAATGGCATATACGCACAACGGGGAACAACTGATATTGTGCTCCCAAGGTCGGTTTCGACATCATGATAAATTTGATAAAGACTTTTATCTTTAGCCTAGCACCTCTAATGATATACAATCCTCATGTTTTGGTATTTAAACAGATCCCACAGGTTACCCAGACCGTTAACTTTCCAGGTTGATTCTAGGTTTGACTTCTCTCACTTTAAATGCATTTTCCCGACTTCCCGCTGTCCCTCATGATCTCTTCTCTGCGATGTCCTTTCTAATGTTGAATAGACGTTTTGGGTTGAAAAGCCTTCTTTTATTGTCCTCGTTGAATCTACAAGTCTGCCCAAGTAGTACGCGAAATTCTCGCTGACTACCCTCTTCCAATCTCCTGCTCGTCAGGTTTCTTAGAAAGGGAATGTCCACGGCCTCTGCGATCTTCCATTTTCTGGTGTTCTTTCTGTTTCACTACAGTCAATTGTGTGGCCGGGCAGGGCAATGTTTTCAGCTATCTCCGATGTTTCCGTTTGCTAGTCATCTTTGATTTTTGCGTTGATTATCGTGCCCATCTCTCCTATGTACTTTTGTTTACAATCTTTGCAGTTTATACTCTAAACCCCACAGCACTCCCAATTGTTGACTTTTTTATGTTGTGTGGACAAGTGTTGAGAAGTCATGCCAAAACGGTTGAACAGAAAATTGGTCAAGGAGATTGGCTTCACTTGTCACTTTGATGATTTGTAACTCTGTCCTAACAGTGGCGCTTTTCACAGACGATGTAGGCTAAACGACTAGGAGTGTATCAAGTCAAAGGTCTGATGCTGGAAATCATCATGAATACTATGACAGAGAATGCAGGACTAGGTCTCTGTTGCCCAAAGCCAAGATGTGAGAACAAACTTAGACCAGTAGTAAATTATGTCTAAAATATTAATAATATCAAATATTGATGCTCCATTACTTAAAAATAAAAACTTTCAAGTTTCAACATCCCTATTATGATAAAAATCCCATTTTATTTATAATTGAGACTTGGATAATTGCTTAAAATGAACCGGGTAATTATATTCAACTTTTCTGAGGCGATGACAAGTCACAAAGATTCATTCTTTCGGACCAACGTGTCAGAATAGATACGATAATAATGAAGACTTAAACAGCCAGAGTAGTTCCAAATCCCAAAATTTTCCGTTATAATGATCAAGGATGCTGGATAATTAGCAAAAAGATACCAGTTCATTAAAGTTAAGTGCATGAAAATGAAGCAAATTGAATATTGTGACATGGCTTTCGAATTCGAAGGAAAAGTGGTTTGAGGGAAGTAGTGATGTAGTCTCACCGGAAACCGAAGGAGGATTGCGGCGTAGGGAAGACTGTTGTATTGTGTAATAATGCTTAGTTCGCCATCCTGCGACTCCAATGAAATTGAGTTAAGCTTTCGTCTGTACTGCGACAGACATCATGAGAACAGGAATCCATACTTTATGAAACAGAGCAAAAATATATTGAACCAAGAGAAAAGGCTGTAACCCTAGTCGCTTTTTATACACCTAACTTCGCTATCTTAATGAGGTATCCCATGCTTTAGTTAGCTACTTCAACCTTTACTTTATATGTCTGTGAATGAGTGAAGTTACTTCCCGAACCAGAAGTGCGTTTAGTATGAGCTGTTTCCTTACCCAAATAAACTAGTGATAGCTCCTCTAATGTTGAATCATGTTTGGGTTTGTTCTATTGTTTATTGTGAGTATGTAATATTCATATCATGGAAAGTGTGATGATCCTAGCTAGACTCGAGGCTAATCCAACCTGCTTCTTTTGTTCAGCGGCTCTTGCACTCCCCTCCTTAAGACTACCAAACAGCCAAAAATAGTTCCTACTCAATTTGCTATACTCGTTCCTCATATTCAGGAGATTGGCTGCTGTGTTAATTTTCATATACTCCCTTATCTTGCACTTTGATGTAAAGTCCCCGTAACCCGTAAACCGTTCCGCTTTGGACTAGTCTATCAAGTATCCTGCTGTTTGGTAGTCTTAAGGAGGAGAGTGAAAGGAAGAGTCGCCGAACAAGAGAAGATTGGATTAATCTCGAGTCTAGCTAGGACTATCACATTTCCCATGATATGAATATTACATACGCATAATAAACAATGGCACAAACCCAAACATGATTCAACATTAGATGAGCTTATACTAGTTGATTTTGGTAAGGAAACAACTGCTACCGAACACACTTCCGGATCGGGAAGTAACTTCACTCATTGGTTCAATATATTTTTGCTCTATTTCATAAAGTATGGATTCCTGTTCTGATGATGTCTGTCGCAATACAGAAGAAAGCTTAGCACAATTTCACCATGGTCGCAAGAGGGCAAACTGATGACTTCTTCACACAATACAAAAGTCTTTCCTATGCGGCAATCCTCATTCGGCTTCCGATGAGACTACATCACGACTTCCTTCCAACCACTTTTCCTTCGAATTCGAAAGTCATGACCCATATATCAGTAAGGAATTATTCGAAACCTAGTTTTTCTTCATATCTAAGAGAATATTTACTATATAGTGAGGAAAGGACGAAAAAATTTAATCACAATAAAATGGATAATTATAGGAAAGACGCAAGACAAACCTTCAAGATCAAGGGAAACCAATCGTTTTACGTCTATTTTTATATGATGAAACTAGTTTAATTTACTATAGAACGACCAATTAGTTCTTTACTCGGATATGAGGGGGGCGACATAAAATAACACATTGCCCAAATGGAAAACATACTAGGGGAGAGAAGCATTGTGAATAGTATTAAAAAATAAGGCAACGAAACACTAAAGGACATAAGTATGAACGGATAAATCGACAAGTAGTCAATAAAATACCTAATATAAAAAGGGTACAATACCCTTGAAAAATCAATGATTACTTTACATAATGCACAAAGAAGGGGAAAAACTAAGACTAATAGTCAATAACACTCATAGAGCAAAGGATAAAATAGAGAAATGTATATGCCTGAGGCCCAAAATGGTAAACAATAAAGTAATAAACATTGTAAATAACTTATATGCATTTTCTCAGAGGATGTAAAATATAGGACTAGGAGCAAGACCTTTGGTAAGGGTTTATGTGCAATCAATGCATACTATAATTTCGGAAGGGAAGGCATTAATGGAGATCTTGGAACGAAAAAAATATCCTAGATACAGAATGGCTCCAGAACAAGTCTATCGATTTGACTACAGGGATCGCGTACTTAGCATTCAAAGGCATTTTATATTTTAAAAATATATGTAGTACGTATGAGATAGCCAAGTTGAAAGTTGCAATAGTGAAGGGATCAGATAGGAAGATATGGAATGGATGAGTGAACCAGGAAAGTTCATTACCCGTCTCTGATGGGCTATAGCCTAGTGCTAGGAATGATAGAGGTGACTTAGGGTGCGGGAGAAACGTCTGGAGACGGTTCTAAGGTGGAAATTATAGCAAAGGACTCTAGACAAGAGGCCTGATGATGAAGTTGTTCTAAAAAGACAAATAATTTTCGAAAACGTGGTCAAACCGCGTCTTTAGAACAAAATAAGATTGTGACTAAAATATAAGCCACGCCATCTCAGCTTGCACAGCTTTGATTTTGAAAACTAACCTCACTTTTGAACATTAATTTAAAAAATTAGCTATTACTTCTGCCGTAGATAGGATGAAAATTTGAATAAATGAAGGTACCATAGGGTAGAAAAACCCAAGTCACCAACCCTTAACGTAATCGAAATAAAAAATACTTGCAGAATAGTACTAGGGAAAAACCTTACTAAAACTTAGAAGTTGTTTGATCTTGTTTTCGCAACTTGGTCATATTTGAAGGAAAACCCAGAGGAACGCACCTAGTCAGGAGTCCATAGTATGCATGATAATTTCCAGAGTTGTACCGTGGATATGGTACGTTCCCAGACGTTTCGCCGGCATCGTAGTCAGCATCGTCAGTTAGCTTTGCCATTCATAGCACTGCACTACATCTCGTATCTTTGACGAGTTGGAAATTATCATACATACTATAGACTTTGTAATACGTGCGTTCCTCTAGGTCTTCCTACCAATATGACTAAGTTAAGAAAACAAGGTCAAACAACTTCTATACAATGAAAGGAGACTGCGATCATACAAAAGGCCACATCATACCTTCGATTACTGAAACTTACTTAATATTTGAATGTACCAAGCCAATAGTCCGACGCTGGAAATTATTATGATTACTATGGAGAAGGACGCAGGAATTGGTAAGTTGCATAAGGTTTTCTTTGAAGCCCCACCAAGTAGTAAAAATGAGGTTATATTAAGTCATAGCTACAAGTCAACACGAGTAAGAGACAGCGACCAAGCCTAAGGCCACACTATCTTGGTCTTATATATAAATTACTTGAATGGCACCTACTATACGTCTTTTAGATTGGCTATGAAAGTTAATGTATATATGGTGGCGAGAACAGTAATACAATATCAATTTTATGCAAAAATTCCGCTCCTTCTTTTGTCTTACTTCGTACTGACTTTTCGTAACCCTTTGCTTGTGTATGTGCTGCCTTGGAAGAAGTATGAGTACCGGGGGGACGAACAGCGTCGTCATCAGGGTTAGATGGTGAAACAGCCTGCCATTTGCCTGACCATGCAGAAAATCCGGTATTTGCAGGAGCTGTAGTGGCTGGTCCTAACAAGTAGTCATGATCTATTGGAAGTGCTGGAGGAGCTTCGAAGTAGTTACCAGTGTTGGAAGTACTAGTAAGTGTAGCAGCAGTAGTAGGAACGACAGCAACAGTATGAGTGACACTAGTGGCAGCAGCGGAAATAGGCTGCCAAGCGTTTCGAGTATGTCCAGAGGATTCACGTGACTGCGAAGTTCCACAGGTACGACCAATCCCAGAGCTTCTGTTTCGAAACTTATGGTCATCTCTAGACGAAGCCTCGTGGGTCCGGTGTTGTCCAATAAACTGACTGATATTAGGCGAAGATGGTTTCATATTTCGATGTCCCGAGGGGACCCTAGCAGCCTCATATGCTATAAGTGGGACGGGTCTTTGTTTGGAAGTAGGTTCAGCCCGGTTGCACTGACGGCTATAGTAGTCGTAGTGATGTTTTCTGGAGAGATGAGAATGATTTTTAGCAGGTTGTCGATTTTTGACAGCTGAAGAGCTGAGTGAAGAGGTATTTGAAGAAGATGAGGAGGATTCTGTAGAATTAGAGCCGGAGGAAGAACGAGAGGCTCGTAAAAAGGGAGAAGATTTGGAAGGGCGGAAGCTGGAATGCCAAGCTGGCTGGCATGAGCCTGAGTTGCCCGATGGGCTGGATGAACGATTATGCACATTCTGTATAAAAGCGAGGCCAGATTATTTTGAAAATTAACAAAATATCTGAGACTGAATTTAATGAAACATCAATTAATCAACAGGCAAAGTAGTGATCAGATGCAATAATCGCTAAAAGCCGAGGGCGCTACTATATGTCATAATGTACTTAGCAAAGACATTCTGAAATTGATTAACCGAATTGTTGAGTAATCGAAATAGTCGCGAAATTGGTAACGAAAAATCATGAATAAAAGGGAAAGCAGAATAGGGCGCTGACATCAAACATTTGTTACATGAAAAGCTTCTCGAGTTGCCTTAGCCCCGTTTTCGTAATTTAGTCTTGCTTAGAGAGAAACTTCAAATAACTAGCTTCTTACTACGTTATCTCTTCCAACGCCTGACAATTAACCATATATGTTCCCCGACATTTCTCCAGCATTATTAGTTGTCCCTTGACGAATTGTAGCATGATAATACAAAAGATGTCGGCGAAGCATCTGAGAATGCATTTGGTCGAAATTCTGGTGCATTGAGAAAGCATTAAAAAAACAGTTCGGGGTACGGTTGTTAAATCCTCTGTGCAAAAATTACTCAATTATAAAAAGGTAAAAAATCGATTATACAGCGAAGAGGAACTAAGAAAAGAGCGTTTTGAGTTCCAAAGATATAGCAAAGCAGTTTGTATGTCATCTTACTACACATATCTAGAGGAAATGAAAAACGTAAGGATACAATCGATGAATTATGAAATAATAAAATATCAATTTGCTCCTTTCCATAAACGACCAATCAGGAGTTATATTATTGTTAGGACTTTCATTTCGTACGAAAGTTTATGAAGTAGAAATTCGAATGTCGATCGTACCAGAAGAGGACGGTTGAATCACATTGTACTGCAGCCGTTTGGCTTTGGTACGACGTTGATATTGATGCGGTCAAAGATACCTCCTTCCTCTTTTCAGGTGAAAACGGGCTGAGCTTTCGTCCATCATATGCTGGACATCATCAGAGCTAGAACTCATTCTTGCAAAATTCTCAATTCAACACTAAGACAAGGATACTGTCCGACTCTATCTTACTTCCTATATAGTCTAATTTAAGCAAGATAATTTAAAAACATAGATCGATATAGAATGGTTTTGTTAATGATATT